CATATAAAATTATAAATTTATAATTTTACATGATAGTGTAATGATAACATTGCTATACCCTTAATTTCATACTTTCAATATTGTAGGAAATAGGAAACCTTTTCTTGTTAATAAATTCTTATTGAAAATTTACCCTAGAGAGTGTTTGGTTGGGAGCAATTTTTCTCCTTAAATTTTTCTAAATTTTTTCTTTTACAAAATTATTTATATATTTTACACATTAATACTACAACAAAAGAGTGCAAAAGTAGTATTTAGAGTAAATAAAGAGTATTCATTTATTTGATATAATTCTCAACCTGTGAAGCCTTTTTTCCACCTATTTTGAAAAAAAAAATTCCTATAACTTTCTTTATATTGTCCACTCAACAACTTTTCTTATATCAATTTTTTATCAAACATAACAAAATTAATAACACAATAAAATTTCAACAAAATTGTATTATAAGATTTAATAATTTTTATATAATATTTTTTAATCATTTTTTAATAAAAAAAGGTTTTTTAATAAAGTGATTCTCTAAATCAAACACGCGCTAAGCTTAGTGCCATTGGTTCACTGTCCCGTTGGCGGCCCACCCAATTCCAAACCAACAGATTTAGGATCCGGGCTTTGCTTCACCGTTGAGCTCTTAATAATTCAATCTAGCTTCTCCGCTGTTCCCTGGGCCCATGGTGTCATGGTCTTATCCCTTATGCTCCAGTTTAACTTGCAGTCTATAGAAGAAGGACAATGGGCTATCTTCAAAACGTAGATGGGTTATGTTTAAGGCCCACTGAAGGAGCTGGGCTTAATCGGCCTAAATCAGAGAGGTTAGACCTCAAAACTTAAATTGTCCATAACATATTAACATTGCGAGTTGCAAGACAGTATAAATAAGGCAAAAACCCTACTTAAACCCCCAAATTTACCCTAAAATAGCATTTAAACCCCTAAATTAAAAATGAAGTAGATTAGCCCTTCAACTCCACTAATGGTGCAAATAAACCCTTCTTATAAATGGATCAAACAGTATTTCATGTTTAATATCACTTTAAAAGCATGAACACCCATGAATGAGAAGGACTTATTTATATGTTAGTAGAGTTGGAGGGCTTATTTGCTTTATTTTTAGTTTAAGGTTTTAAATACCATTTTGGAATAAGTTTGGGGGTTCAAAAGAGGCTTTTGCCTATAAATAGAGAGGATATTGTTTTGCAATTCACACTCAACTTTTTCTTGATAAATAAACTCCTTTTTCTTATGTACATCTTTATCTCAGGATAATTATTATTTTTTAATTTGAGTTTCTCATTAATTGTTATTTTTTATTTTTTAAAGTATATATTTTTTTAATTTTTTCATTATTTATTTATTTAAATTAATCATTCTATCACAAAAAATTATTTTTATTCTTTTA